TTTGTTAATGTGGTGTATCACATGGACTGATCTGCAGATACTGAAAAATCCTTGAGTCCCTGGGATAAATCCCACTTGATTGTGGTGTATGATCTTTTTAATGCATTGCTGGAGTCTATCTGCTAGTATTTTGTTGAGGATTTTTGCTTCTATATTCGTAAGTGATACTAGCCTGAAATTTTCTTTTTTTTGTGATGTCTTTGGTTTTGGTATCATGGTGATGACAGCCTCATAGAATGAGTTTGGAAGCATTCCTTCCTTTGCAATTTTTTGGAATAGTTTCACAAGATTAGATGTCAACTCTTCTCTAAATGTTTGGTAGAGTTCACCTGTGAAGCCATCTGGTCCTGGACTTTTGTTTGTTGGGAGTTTTTAAATCACTGATTCAATTTTAGTGCTGGTAATTCATCTGTCCACATTGTCTATTTCTTCCTGGTTCAGTCTTGGCAAATTGTACCTGAGAAGTTTTCTGTTTCTTCTACATTGTCCTTTTTGCTGGCATATAGTTGCTCAGAGTAGCCTCTTATGATCATTGTATTTCTGTGGTGTTGGTTATAACCTGTCCTTTTTCATTTCTGATTTTATTAATTTGGACCCTTTCCCTTTTTTTCTTGATGAGTCTGACTAAAGATTCATCAAATTTATCTTTTCAAAGAACCAGCTTTTAGTTTCACTGATCTTTCCTATTTTTAAAATGTCTATCTCATTTATTTCTGATCTTTTTTTTTTGAAGGGGGAGGTAATTAGGTTTATTTGTTTATTAATTTTTTTTTTAAAGAGGAGGTACTGGGGATTGAACCCAGGACCTCATGCATGCTAAGCATGACCTCTACCCCTTGAGCTATATCCCTCCCCTTCTGCTTGAATCTTTTAATATTCCTTTTCTGCTACTGACCTTGGGTTTTGTCTGTTCTTTCTCTAGCTGCTTTAGGTGTAGGGTCAGGTTGTTTACTTGAGGTTTTTCTTGTTTCCTGAGGTAGGCTTGTATCACTATAAACTTTCCTCTTAACAACTGCTTTTGCTGCATCCCAGAGGTTTTGGATCATTGTTGTTTTCATTGTCATTTTCTCAAAGTATTTTTTGATTTCCTCAGTGACCCATTGTTTGTTTAGTAGTATACTGTCGAACTTCCATGTGTTTGCAGTTTTCTTTCTTGTAGTTGTATTCTAATCTTGTAGCCTTGTGGTCAGAAAAGATGCTTGGTATGATTCGAATTTTTAAAAATTTACTGAGGCTTGCTTTGTGGGCCAGCATGTGGTCAATTTCTTATTGACTTAAGTAGGGTGTTAACGTACCCAGCTATCATTGGGTTACTGTCAATTTCTCCTTTTATGTCTATTAATAATTCCCTTATGTACTGAGGTGCTCCTATGTTGAGTGCATATATATTTGCAATTGTTATATCCTCTTGGATTGATCCCTTGAGCATTATGTAGTATCCTAGTCTTGTGTAACAGTCTTTACCTTAAAATCTATTTTGTCTGATATACATATTGGTACCCCAGCCTTCTTTTGGTTTCTGTTTGCATGGAGTATCTTTTTCTGTCCCCTTACTTTCAGCCTGCATGTGTCTCTAGCCCTGAATTGGGCCTTTTATATAGACAGCGTATATATGCGTCTTGTTTTTATATCCAGCCAGCCAGTCGATGTCTTTTGGTTGGAGTGTTTAATCCATTCACATTTGAGGTAATGATCGATATGTATGTTCTTATTGCCATTTTGTTAACTGTTTTGGGTTTGTTTTGTAGGTCTTACTTTCCTCTTCTTTTGGTTCTCTTTTCTGTGGTTTGATGACTAGAGAAGTACCTTTAACTTTTGTTGTAAAGCTGATTTAGTGGTGCTGAATTCTTTTAGATTTTGTTTATCTGTGAAGCTTTTGATTTCTCCATCAAATATGAAGGACAGCCTTGCTGGACAGAGAGTTCTTGGTTGTAAGTTTCCCCCTTTCACCACTTTAAATATATCAGGCTGCTCCTTTATGGCCTGTAGAGTTTCTGCTGGAAAATCAGATAACCTTATTGGACTTCTCTTGTATATTACTTGTTGCTTTTCTCTTGCTGACTAATATTTTCTCCTTATCTTTAATTTTTGACAACTTGATTACTGTGTGCCTTGGCGTGTTCCTCTTTGGGTTGATCCTGTGTGGAACTCTCTGCGCTTCCCTGACTTGGGTGACAGTTTCCTTTCCCAAGTTAGGGAAGTTTTCAGTTATTACTACTTCAAAAATTTTCTCATGTCCTCTCTCTCGTCTCTTTCTGGGACCCCTATAATGTGAATATTAGTGCACTTCATGTTGTGTCAGAGTTCTCTTAAACTATCCTCAGTTCTTTTCATTCTTTTTCTGTTTTGTAGTGATTTCCACTAACCTGTCTTCTAGCTCACGGATCCATTCTTCTGCCTCATTTAGTCTATTCTTGGTTCCTTCTAATGTGTTATTCATTTCAGTAACTTTATTCATCAACTCTGGA